CCTGGTAGATGGACAACAGTAAAGTGGGTGAAGGGAGACATTGGACAGTGCAAAATATCACAAAATAATAATTTATAAATTATCAAGGGTTCATGAGGGAGGGGGGAGCGGGGAGGAACGGGGAAAAATGAGGAGTTGATACTAGGGGCTTAAGTGGAGAGCAAATGTTTTGAGAATGATGAGGGCAATTAATGTACAAATGTGCTTCACACAATGGATGGATGTATGGATTGTGATAAGAGTTGTATGAGCCCTAATAAAATGATTTTTTTTAAATGTCCTTTTCTTTTTATGTGATGTTCTTGATGTCATCCCACAACTCATGCTGGTCTTGTCATTAGTGTTCAATGCATCAAATGTAGTCTTCAGATGGTCTCTAAATTCACGTGGAATATACTCAAGGTTGTATTTTGGCTCTTGTGGATTGGTTTTAATTTTCTTTAGCTTCTATCTGAACTTGCATCTGAGCAAGTTCTACAGTAAGTCAGCCCTGGCCTTGTTTTGGCTTCTCTATCATCCCTTCATATAGATGTAGTCAATTTGGTTCCTGCATATTCCATTTGGTGAGGTGTACATGTAGAGTCACTGCTTATATTGCTGAAAAAAGGCATTTACAACACAGAAATTCTTGAAAAATTTTACCATGCGATCTCCAGCTTCATTTCTATTACCAAGACCATATATTCCAACTACTGATTCTTGGTCTTTGTTTCCAACTTTCGCATTCCAATCAGTAATTATCCATGCCTCTTGATTGCATGTTTGATCAATTTCAGATAGAAAAATGTAGGATTCTTCAATTTCATCATCACTGCTTTAGTGGTTGCTGCATACATCGGAGTAACAGCGTGTATCAACTGGTCTTCCTTGTAGGCACAGAGAGATCCTATCACAGCACTGTACATCAAGATAGAGCTTGAAATGTTCCTTATGATGATGCATGTGATGCCATTCCTCCTGACCCTGTCATTCAGCACAGTAAGCCATACGAATGCTTAATTCAGAATGGCCTCTACCAGTCCTGGTCACTAATGCCTAGGCTATCCATCTTCATGCATACTATTTCACTTTGGATCACTTCCAATTTTCCTACTTCGCATGCATTGTAATTATTAATGAGGTCTATAAACTTTGCCCCATCCCTGTCATAGGATTAATTCTAGTTTGAAGACGCAGCTCTTCCCCAGTCGTATTTTGAGAGCCTTCCAACCTGAGGAGCTCATCTTCTGGCAGTACAGGTTTCAGTGGCTAATCCTCAGTAAGGAACCACTTTTTCTTTCTTCCTTCCTAGTCTGTCCTTGGTCTGAAAGCACCTCTGACACCTGTTCAGGACTCCTGGCACCTGAAATTCTGGTGACATTGCTTCCAGCTTGACAGTAACACACAAACCATCCCAGTATACAAACATACAGATTACTTAGTAGTTAGGTTAAACGACTATTTAGGATTGGATGATACACAAGGGGTTTATTTGTTTAGGTTTTCTTCTTTTTTGACTTTTTGGTTGAAAGACAATTTCATGGGATATTTTTGGTTTAAAGTTAAAGATTATCTCAAGGCAAAGTTTTGGAGATTCACCAGTCTCCTTTGCTCCAGAAGGTATAAATTACATTAGAATTTGATATTCCATTCTGTATGTTCCCCTTTTTGATTAGGATTCTCCCAAAGTCTCAGATCAAAACATTCAGTAATAGTAGAGGAAAAAGAATGGCTTGGAACAGAGTGATGAACAGAGGCTCTAATGAACACCGTGACGTCTGCTGGTGAAGTCAGACAAGATGGTACCCGGTGGGAAACCAGCATGGTGAGTTTAAAGAGCCATGGTAAGTTTAAAGAGCTAAGGCCAGCATCTTGGACCCAGCAAAGTGGAGGTTAATTACCAGCCACCTTCAACCTCTGATCAAGAGGAGGAAATGAGTGCCAGAAACCAGAAGGCACTTGTTCTGCAGAAAGCTGCAGCGTGCAAACAGAGCCCTGTCTCCATCCCGTGCCTTTAATGTGTCAAAGAGACAGACTGAAGCGCTTATTCTTCAGTACTCTCTCTACTGACATACTTCTAACCGCCAAACTACACAGGTGGTCACATCATCCTAGGAAAAGCAAGCGGAGGCAGTGTCTTTACAGAAAGAGATAGATGCAGACACACACACAGATAGATGCAGATACACACACACACACACACACAGAGGAATTAGGAAGTGTGGCATCAATGTGTCCTTAGAACTAGAAAAAAGAAGAAAAAGTAGTTATCTTTCTTTGTCCTTTCATTTCTGCCTGTTAGAGCCAACCAACGCCTACTGTTACTACAATAAAACATCAAAAATCTTTGAGTGGAGGGAGAATGTTTAGTAATACGTGCAGTTCATCTTGTATTGTTGTTCCTCCTTTTCTCTTGTCTCATTATCATAACTGGGAACTTCCCCTAGGACAAGCTGTTGTTCTGAAACAACAGACCAGTCACTCCTGAGGAGCCCAGACTGCAGGCCACAAACAAGCCTCGCCTGTGAATGACTCACAGCATCCAGTCAACCACCTCCACCTGAAAAGAATTGCTTGCTTCCCTAAAATTAGGAGAGATTTCTTGCTACTCTTATAGGCTCTTATGATTATCCTCTATATCTAAGGTGACCAGATTTTAACATTGGTAAAGCGGGACAAAAGCGGGACACCATTGATAAAACTCATATCCTGGCGAAATAGCCACATGGCAGCTGAAAACCGTATACCCTAGCTTGTCCTGCATTCTTTCCAAAAATCGGGACTTTTTTAAAACGGCATGAGATGCGGGAAAAATTGTTAAAAAGCGGGACTGGCCCGCCAAAAGCGGGACGTCTGGTCACCTTATCTATATCCCATATAAACAGAAAGCAGCTACAGAAGGAAAGACCTGATCCCATAAAGAATTATGTGTATGAAATCTCTCAGGAGAGAAATGAGGGAAGGGAGATGAAGGTGAAGATTTGAACAGTGCAAGTGCTGAACCCACAACATCTCTGGACTACATTTCCCAGAAGTCCTTGCTACCCTGATGGACATTCCTGGGAAGCTCATGTGCAGGAAACGTTTAAAAAGCTTGATGTGCACGCAGCAGACAAGAAATACCAAGGTCAGCCATGCTGGCTGGTAAAGTTTTCTTCCTCCTAGGAGCTTCTACATAAAATTCTCTTGTGATGTCCTACGTCTTCCAAAAGTAAATCTTCCTAAAAGAACTTAATTCTCGTCACATCATCCTGCAGGGTTGCTACATAGTGAGAAGGTGGATGGAGATTACGGTGCATCCAGGTGCCTCTATGCAGCTTTAACTACCAGAGCTAGACAATGATCACTTCATCAAATCCCTTTCCACTGACAGACTCTGGGATCCAAAGGGTGCATGCTGAGCTCCCTATAAACTATGGAAATTTTTAAAGCAAGAAGAATTGGAAAGTTGCTCCCAAAGAGAAAAGAGGCCTCATTCGAACACCAACTCTCTCAGGATCATAATCCCTATTTTGTGAAATTTCCAAAGCCTCTTCTAGCATTCATTTCATTTCAAACTGAGAATTGTCCTTGTTGCTGGTTAAGCAGTGATCTTCCTTATTAATCTTGAGGTGCCTGAAGAAGTGGAGACATTTAAAAAGTGGAGAGAGCAACATGGAAAAACTTGAACACATCATATTGAGTGAAATAGGTCACAAAAGGGCAATACTGTTTGATCTCACAGGAAAGAAGCAAATATATAGACACCAGAGCATCGAACAGTGTAAGACATGACAAAATAATAATAAAATATAAATCATCAAGGGTTTGTGAGGGAGAGGGGGCAGGGAGGGAGGGCGAAAATGAGGAGCTGATACCAAGGGCTCAAGTAGAAAGAAAATGTTTTAAGAATGATGAGGGCAACAAATGTACAAATGTACTTGACACAAATGGATGGATGGATGGATGGATTGTGATAAGAGTTGTACAAGCCCCCAATCAATAAAATAATTTTTTAAAGAAAGAACGAAACCAGAAGTCATTAGTGGTTATGAGTGGAAAGGGGAAGGAGGCTGAGGTCATGTTAGCAGTGGTAGAACAACTGGGACCTTGAAGAGTGTAATCAATGTCATTCATTTTACATACAGAAATTGTTTTTCTTTTAAATTCAGTAATGGGAACTGGGTACCATCCAGTTCTGGTCTCACAGCAAAGAGGCAGGTTGTTCATGGAAGCAATTAGGTAAACATTGTTTCCTCTTCCTATTCTGAGTTCTCCTTCCTCTGCTGAATAGAGATGAACAGAGACCGGTGCTTGTGCCTCGAGGAGCCATAAGCAAGCATTCCAGACCCAAGGCACTATGCCATGAGCTGGGAGGCAGAAGAGAAGCACTAAGAATACCACTGGGCCAATTAATTGGGTTGTCTCCTGAAACCGTGACCCTGAACCTTCAAGCGAAGAAACCAAAAGTCTGCGGCATGTAGTTGTACAGAAGCAACCTCAGCAGCTGTTCTTCCTATTGCAATCAGCTGCAACTTTAAAGAAATAATTTTTTAATATACTTTTTGAACAATCCACCAGTCCCTCCCCTGAAGTCTGTTCTATATTTCTGAGACCCACCATCCACATACTGTTAGCCAATGGTCTAGCACATGCTGATTAGCAACTGTGTGCTTGTCGAACATGGGTATGAATTAATCTGGCTCTACTGGGAGGAAGAAAATAAATGCTCAGTTCCTAAGGAAGCATACTTTATGTTCCAAGTGCAGAAACACCGCAGGGGGACGATGTCACCACGTGGCAAAGATGTAGTGTCAATGATGTGGAGCAGATGGGCAGAGAGGAGCGTGAGCGCAGATGCTGGTATGACTGTTTACGCTCGGTCATCTCTTCCAGCCGTGGAACGCCATGGTGGTGAATACACACATCTGAACTCACATCCACTCTCACTGCCCCTCACACTCAATGCCAGCCCAGTCCCACCAGTGGCATCTGCTGATAGGACAGGCATTTATGGGTGTGGCGCCAGGGGTTGGACTAACCTGCAGGTAGAAGGCGGCCGATACTGTGCGTGGGCTGCGGACAAACTCCGTAAAGAAGGCCCCATCCTGAAGTCAGAGGAGCAGGAAGCGGCGGCAGTGGAAGCAGCAGCAGGTGCAAGGAAGCGAAGAAACAAAGTGTACCAGCAAGTTAACCATCAGGGGAAGGAATAGGGCGGGGGTGACAAACAAAATATAAAAAGGAGAGAAATAAGGACACAGGAGGGAAGTAGAAAAAAGAAAGAAAAATAAATCCATCCAAAGAGATAATACTCAAGGTGCAAAGCAGACAGTCCATATGTATGGGAGAAGCACCTGGGCGGGGTCCAAGCTCCCCTGGGTCTCATCAAAGCACAGTATGGATGTTTACTGCCCACCTACATGCTCGGAAATGCCGTCCGCCCGGGGAAAGGCCACGGAGCAGCTTGGTGGGGATGGCCGAGAAAGGATTCATGGCTGTCCATCTGGCTGGGGCGTGAGATGCAGAGAGGCCAGACATTTCTACTTCTGCCGCTGTCACTACAATGGCAGCCAGACAGAACAAGAGGAATCGCTGTAGGAAATAGTCTTAATTTTCGGGACAGACATGGAGCGTAAAAGCAGCCATATTGTCTCCTAAACTACTGTCTAACGAAAACGTCACCCAGAAGCTAGAGATATGTAGTTACAGTACAGATGTACAGGCACACATCGTGAGATGCTTCACGAAGCCACCTGCCCATCCTGCCTTACGCTGGTTAAGGTTCAAACCCCCAATCCCATCACCCTCGAGTCGATTCTTGCTCACAGGGACCCTATCAAACAGCAGAACTGCCCCACTGAGTTTCCAAGGCTATCATCTTCACAGAAAACGCCCATCACCTCTTTCTCCTGCTAAGTGTGGTATGTTCAAGCCGCCAACCTGTAGCAGCCAAGCACTTTAACCCCTGAGCCACCAGGCTCCCTCTGGTATGGTTCCAGTCACTGAATGTTTGAAGCAAAATGGCACAGAGGCTTTTCCAAAGACTTCTCCTGGAACAAATAAACATTTTGCACACACAACCTCCCCAAGCTGTTCCTGGGCTTCAATAGTCAACCAGGTCGCAGCTTTGGCCTTCCGTGACTGGCACTGGCCGAGCCGCTCCTCTGAAGAGGCATCAGTGTGCTGCTGGGTGCTGTCAAGCCTGGGTGCTGTCAAGCCTGTCAAGCCTGTCAAGCACCTGGGTGCTGTCAAGCCTGCAGGACAGAAGTGGAGAGCCTTTTTTGCTGCCAAGGGCCATTGGTTATTTATAACACCATCCTTGGGCCCTACTGGCCAAACATTTAACTGACTCATCCCAAATGTGATGGCTGGAAGTGCATCGCTTTGGTGAGGTGTGTGAGGTTAGTTGGTACTGATGATGCCCAAGGCCTTGTTTGGTCCGTGGACTGGATGTTCCCCACCTTTGCTACAGGACAAAGTAGAGCTGCCCCTCGGGGTTTGTTAGGCTATAAATCTTTGCTAGTTGTTTTTTTCCTCCTGAGTGGTCGATGAATTAGAACCTCCAACCTTTCAGACAGCTGTCAAGCACTAAACCACTGAACCACCAACAATCCTGACAGCACTAGTAAGACACATAATGACAGTGCTAGGAGCCTCGACCATTCCTCAGATCTACACTGCTGCCTTCACAACTTGCATGTACTCTAAACTCTGGCTTGGACCTGCCTTTTCTTACCCAGGTAGGAAGGTATCACAGGACCAAGTATAAAGCCAGTGTTCACTGCTGTTACCCTTTATACGGCGGGAAAGGGGTCCCTGATTCCATCCCATCCAGTGGCTATCAACTACTCCAGGGAGATTTGGGGGCGCTGTGAAGATTTCTTGGGCAGGAAATGAAGGCCTGGCTCTCCTGTCCCTATTTACCAGAACCTTCTACCAGCACCTTTATATTCAGAGTATGCTTTAACTGAACAAAGGATTCTGTGATGACAAATTTGGAAGCTAATGATCAGCCTAGCCGCATCATTTACAGGAAGAAGAAAGTCCACACAAGCCAAGTAATTTCCCCAAAGATACCAAATCGCTACGTGATTTCATTCCATTATGACAGTCCTCCTCTCCCTTAGCTGCCATGGAGCCCCTTCTGCGTAGCCATTTCGCTATGCAAAGTGCGTGAGCCTGCCCCAGGCCATGGTATTTTAATAGCTTCCCACACATGTGAGAGCTGGACAAGGAATAAGGAAGGCTGAAAAAGAACTCACGCCTTCAAATTAAGACAAGAGCAAAGTCCAATGAATATATCACAGTCCACAAGAAGAAAGAGCCAATCTATCTTGGAAGAAATACAGCCAGAACGCGCCTTGCATGGTGAGACCTCAACTCTTGAACTTTGAACATGTTATCAGAAGGGACAAGCCCCTGGGGAAGGACATCATGCCTGGTCAAATGGATGAAAACGAGGAAGGCCCTGAGTGAGATGAATTCACACAGGGCTGCAACAACGGGCTCATGACTGTGAGAACGGAGCAGGACCAGGTGGTGTGTTGTCGCTTGGGCGCGAGGCCATTGTGAGTCACACTTGACTCAAGACACCTCACAGCAACTTCTGTAAGAACCGTGCGTCCTCGAGAGTAAGCCGACCCCGATCACAGCCGAGGCACCTCGCTTTACCACAAAAACAGCATTAGAAATGTGCTGAAAAACTCGGCTTATACACGAGTATATACGGTACATCACTACCACTCACTTCTCATGCTGTGCTATAATTATTGTTTACAGGCTTATTCCCCAAATACACTGTAAACCCTGAGAGCTAGGCCAGTTTTCTTAGCTCTGCATCCTTAATACACAGTGTACAGATGATGCTCGATATCACGACTATCTAACACTAAATCCGAATCCTTTATCTTGCCTCCTACAGGGATTCCATCATCAGGTATGACTTTGTTTGCTACTTTTTTTCTGATTTTCTTACATCTTCTTAAAGTCAAGAAATGCCCTCTGTCCTTTCAAAATCGTTTGACTGTTTATGCCTTGATAGGACTGGAAATTCAGAAATGGCCCTTGGTAACTCTCCAGGTTGCTGTTTTCCTACAGTCTGTCCTCAAGTCAAAAAATGAGACATTCAAACAGCTTGTTGCCGTTTCCTATAAATGACTGCAAACCCCAGAAGCAGGCAATGGAAAGGTGGACTGTGGAGATGCAAACTCAGGTCCCCTAGGCAGCCTGATCACATGTTGACCAGGGTTCTCCACATTGGCCATTGCGTGGCATGTTTGGGTTGCCTTTTGCCCTGGTCACCTGGGACTCCAGAGCTAGCCACAAACCCCGCGATAGTACCTCCATGTGGATGAAGTGCTCTGTTGGAAGACAGCAAGAGGAAAGTGCTCCACACAGCAAGCTAATGTTTGGTCTTTGGGACAGTCTACTTTCTCTACGTGTCAGTCCTTACAAGTCCCCAGGAAGTCAATGTGCGGTGGTAAAAGTCAATAGACAACAACACACAGGTATCATGGGCATCACTGTTTCAGTTGTGTCCCTTTCCTACCAGAAATGTGGACACAGAGAACGTGAGGAGTTAGGTGAGGAGTTGCAGACAGATTGTTCTAAAACCCCAGCCTGCACCAGGGGCTCACAACTATTGCCAGCAGGTCAGACCCTGCTTTTTTATAGCCTGCAAGAAAATAAATGTTTTCACAGTTTTAAATGATTACAGAAGGCCTTATACGATAGCTTTGATTTACATCTCATTCCACACAACCAAAAATATTTCTAATTTGGCCCTTTAAGTAGGTTGCTGACCGGAGATTCTACAAGATGATTACAGCCTCCATTAAAATTTTTTCTCATATTTTAGTTGCAAAACTTCATGGATTAGCAAAAATTATGAAAATCAGAGAAATCATTTTCACTTTCGACAAAAACTAAGTTGAATGAGGGAATAACTATATGAAGTACTATATCATTATTTTAAATAATCACGTTTTAGCAAATTGTATCATGATATAGGGAAATTTCAAGATATAAAGTAAAATCAATTGGCGTGTACTTGATCACAATTGTGTGTGTACTTGAAAAATAAAATTAGTCTTCTGAATCTCCTTAATTTTCCTTCCAGTGACAGGAACCAGATAAGAAAGCATAATCAACTCATTTTACCACATCATATGGAAGCCCTTCACCAGAAGGGCCTCTTACCTTTCGTGGGCTGTCCACGTAGGTGGGTGTCATGGCAACACTGTTGCTCTCTGTGGACTGAGCGGAGCTCTTACCAGCATGCACCGCAGCCTGCTGCTCACCAAGGCACCTGGAACAAGGAAACACAGGTGGCTGCAGGTTGCTCAGAGCTTCCCCAAGAAGGAGCCATGATAGCCAAGATGAAGATGTCACTTTCACGCCATCTTGACATGACAGGTCCCACATGATACATACCCTTTAGTTCATTCACTGTCCTCAACAATCACAAGTCCTCCATAGGAAACCAGGATGGAGCCCAATTTAAAAAGCCTCCTGGCAGTCCCTGGGGCTTACACACGACTCTGCACGGGCTTTCATGGCTCCATCCATGAATACCATGTTTTTAATCCTCTGGGGAGATTTTCTTCCTGAATTTATTATTAAATATGCCAACAAAAATGCATGCTGAAAACTAAGATTATATTAACAAATACCTCAATTTGACAGGGAGAAATGCAATCAGTCTACACTTTCTGAAGGTATTTATAGCCTTATCTTTAAATACTTATAATACCCCTGCCCAACACACACACACACACACACACACACACACCCCTAAATTACTCCATTAATCTCAGCAACACAATCTCCTAACACAAGACAACTGTGCTTTCCTGATCTTTCATCTCATTCCAATGTACATAAATGCATATTCACAAATTTACTTCCCTAAGTTTCCTCCTCAAGAACCATGGTGGTGTAGTGGTTCCATGTTGAACTGCGACCTGCATGGTCTGCATTTCGAAACCATCAGCAGCTCCATGGGAGAAACACTGGGCTTTCTAATCTTGGAAACAGTTATAGTCTTGGGGTGGGGTGGGGGGGGTCCAAGACGAGTCAGCATTGACTTGATGGCCGAAAGCCTGGTTTAGTAAGTTTCCTCATCACTAAAATTAACGATGAACTAGTATACCTTAAATGTTCTTCCCAATGAAATCATTTAAACATACTCCACTGTATGTTCAGTAAGTATTCCGGTGGCTCACATTAAGAGTCTTAAAGGCTTCTTATCATGACACACCTGTCATGATAGACACTCTTAGACACTGCCCAGGTTCCTGTCCTGAAAGTTCTACTGCAACACACCCACCTTTGGAGGGTGATTTAGCTCCAGCACTCACACGGGCCAGGTGAGGCTGTCCTTAGGCCTGGGTCACAACCCCACTTCTCTCGTTGCAAGCTAGGGAGTTTCACACATGCCTCTGCACTTCAGACCACTGGCCTTCACAGATTCTCCCTAACTGCAGCCCCCTCAGGGAGGGCCTGGAAACCCTAAACTCCAGAGCAGCCGCCCATTCTCATCTTTCCTCTAATCATGTGGCCAGACTCAACCTGCTTCTCCATCGCGACTTTTCCCCAGTTTCCACTCAGCAAGTGAACCAAGGTGGTTCACTTTGCAAGCACTGCAAGGGTGGGCCTGGCGGGTCCCTGGAACTTGCCATCCCAGACAGTGGAGTTCTGTGATGGGCACAGACTTTCCAGGCTTAGGTGCATCTCCAGGCAAACCACATGCCAACATTCAAAAAGCCAAAACTCAAAAACCCATTGCTACGGAGTCAGCGCCAGCTCACAGAGACCCTATCGGACGCGAAGAACTGCCCCGTGGGTTTTGAGGCTGTAGTAACTCATTACAGGAGTAGAAACCTCGCTTGCTCCCGAGGAGTCATTGGCAGTTTCAACTGCTGACCTGATAAACGCAGATAGTGGCCCAACTCAAAACCACTACACCAACAGGACTCCTTCAAAAGGCCAGAGTCCCTTTTATTTCCTTCAGTCTCCCAGCAGTTCTAGTTGTATGGCTTTTCAAATGCAAAGGTCCTGAGACGGAAGACACTGGGCGGGGCTTACTCTTTTCTAATCCTGCTCCCTTGGCTTCAGCAGAAGAAAGAGGGAGCTTTCTACTCCCGTTGCAGTCTGGGAAGCCCACAGAGCAGTTCTACTCTGTCCTACAGGTCACTGTGGCTCAGAAGTGACTCAAGGGCACAGACATTCCTTACAGGGAATTTCGAATAGAAAAGGATCCTTAGCAAATCTATTTGTAAAGGCTGAAGACAGGAAGGCTTACCTGTAGGTTGCAACCCTTTGGGAGTCAAACAACCCTTTCACAGGGGTCGCCTGATTCAGAACAGTAGCAAAATTACAGTAATTAGGTAGCAACAAAAATAATTTTATGGTTGGGGTCACCACCACATGAGGAACTGTATTAAAGGGTCGTGGCATTAGGAAGGTTGAGAACCACTGGCTTACAAGATCTTTCTATTCATAATTTCCAATATTCACTTCACACGTGTCTCTGACTCACAGCGACCCTATAGGACAGGGTAGAACAGTCTCTGAGTTCCCAAGACTGTACCTCTGTATAGGAGTAGAAAGCCCAGTCTTTCTCCTTCAGAGCGGCTGGTCATTTTGAACTGCTGACCATCTGGTTAGCAGCCCAACTCCTAACCACTACACCAACAGGGCTCCTAGGTTCACTTTGATCACACACTAAGCCAATAACAGTAGGTCCAATAAATCAGTATAATAGTATAGCCAGGTCCTAAACACAATTCCTTTTAGAACATTCAAGTTCAGCGTTCACTCAGACTATGGCACTTGTATGCATATGGCCTGACGTCGCAGGCTGCAGTGTGAATCCAGCAGGCTTGGTCTGCTCTCTTTATTGTTAAATGCAGCCCTCTGGGTCCTGTACATTCTGAAAATGGGAAGTTCTACACAGACGTTTGAGCAGAAAGAAAGAGTACTTCCTAAGTTGCAGTGTGTACTTTTGTCTGGAGGCCCAAAGGGTCTTGGGTGTCTCTTTTTGGTGATATTAGTAAACACTGCTGGTTTCTGCTAAATTCATTAATTAACTAGAAATTACATAATGGTGGCCTTCTACCATTCCATCTCTATGCATTAAACGGAATGCTTTAAAAACAGAAACTGCTTCACACTCTGAGGTCTAATTCGATTCGTATAGGAAAAAGCGGAATCTGTAGATTTGATCCTTTCTTTCAATCACTTGTACTGTACTGTCTCTCTGTCCACGGCATCACAGTGGTCTTTTCTCAGCCTCATCCACACGTACACACCCAAGTACACGTTCCCTCCATCTCCCGAGGCTACAGTAGCAGATGAGAACAGGGACGACAACCGTGGCCAGGAATCTTGGATTACTACAGTGACTCTTCCTATGTATTGTCTGATCCATACAACTCACTGTCATTAATTCTGACTCATAGTCACCCTATGGACAGAGTAGAACTGCCCGTGTGGTTTTTCACGGCTGGAAATCTTTATAGGAACAGAAATTGTCATCTTTCTCTCACAGAGCAGCTTACCCTACCACAATGCATAACCTAGTGCACCGCCGGGGCTCCTGGGACACACAACAACCCACAGGTAGTGACTGGTCTCCACGCTCCCCTGGGGATCAGGAATTGGATTCAGAGAGGAGGGAGCGACTGTACTGTGTGTCATGGCTCAAGGAGAATGGCTGGATGCATCCGGGGGAACATATACGAGAGCACATGCCACTCTGTCAGGAAGAGAGCACCAGGGAAGTGACATGTGTGCTGGGAGGAGGCCACAGCCTGCACAGGCACAGGACGAAGTACAGTCACAGATGCTCCCGACCGATCTAGGCTGCGCCTATCAGCCTGCTCTAATCACCAAGCCACCAAGTACACATAACCAGAGACATCTTAGATAGCGGTGAACATCTGGTCTCTTTGCGGTGTTTCTTCCCTACCCTGCCTTGGCTGCCCCTGGTTCCTTCTTGTTGTTTAGGAGCAGAGAAGACCATTAACCAGCAACTTACTGCTTCCCATGCTGATCTCACCCACACTGATAACCAACACGGAGCCTCTCTCCTCCACACAAGACTGACTACGAATATCTGCGGATAGAGAAGGGCTAGAAAGGAAAAGGAAGTAGGATGGGGTGGGCAGAACACGGTGATGGTGACACAGCAGGACTACAGGTGACATCGTAAACATTCTTTCTCACGTTGTGATAACATTGTTCCTCACGGTAAATACTGTTGAATCTGTTTGTCACAACAGAAGAAAAGAGAAACACAAAGAAGGGTGCACCAGCAAATGTGATATAAAAATCAGGCTCCCTCGATTCTCTCTACCTTCAGCTTTGAGGAGATGGACCTGGCCACCCAGGAGCAGTCCTCTGGAGCAAGAAGTGTGGGGCCTCTGTGTCTTGCTCCCACTGTGGGGCAAGCTGAGCCTCATGCTTTGTATCAGGGGATGCTATCACCCCAAGGAAGCCCTCTGCTTCTCGCCTGAGCAGACAGAGGCTCCTTGGACATAATGTACTCACAAACACATGAAAATAAGATCCCCACCCACACTTCACAGCCTCCCAGCAACCTAACGCTCCCTCTTCTTTTTCCCAATGGGACAGGTCTGTGATTAATCACAAAGCAAACCACCCGGACAAAGTTCTGGGCTCTTTCTTGGGTCTGATAAAAGATCTTTTCTGAAGAGGAACTAGCTCTCGGCCATGAGCCCAATCTAGCCTAGCTCACCCACCCCCCACCCCGCCTGCTTTTTCCCCCTTCTTTTCCATCTGCACCACCATCCATCTTCATGCAGCCTCTGCCATCTCCGCCTCAACAGGTCAGCCTCTCAGCCGGGCTCTGCTTCCTGGCCAGCCTCCCTCCTCCCCTATACACACGCATGCCTAGAAGTGAGGGCCACCGCTGAAAACAGGACTTCCACCCAAGACACCAGCCGGCTATTTCATGATCCGCTCCCACTACCATGACTCGAATCCTATCTTGCAAGACTGGCTAGACCAGAGGAGGTACACTGGTACAGATAGGAACTGAAAATACAGGGAATCCAGGACGGATGAGCCCTATAGGACCAGTGGTGTGAGTGAGTGGCAAAACGGGGAGGGTAAAGGGAGAATGGGTAGGGAAGAGGGAACCGATTACATGGAGCTGTGTGTGACCTCCTCCCTGGGGGACAGACAACCAAAAAGTGGATGAAGGGAGACGTCGGACGGGGCAAGATATGACAAAATACCCATTTATAAACTATCAAGGGCTCATGCGGGAGGGGGGAGCGGGGAGGGAGGGGAAAAATGAGGACCTAGTGTCGGGGGTTTAAGTGGAGAGAAAATGTTTTGAGAAACGATGTACAAATGCGCTTTACACAATTGATGTGTGTATGGATTGGGATAACAGTTGTATGAGCCCCTAATAAAATGTTAAAAAAAAAAAGAAAATGCAAAAAAAAAAAAAAAATTGCTGTCATTGTTTCCCCAAAAACCAATTTTATCAAAACAAACAAACAAAACCATTTTATCAGGAGCGAATCCAGACGTCGTATGATTGTATTGCTGTCACTTGAAAGGTACATTTCCGTATCATGGCCTTGATGTTTACAAAAAGAAAAGAATGCTTATCTTTCAGAGATTCATACTGAAATATTTACAGCTGAAGGATGATTATCTGGGATTTGACAGACAGAGAACGGGACACCAGTGAGACAAGATCATCCAGGGACAGGCAGTGAAGCTGGCGGGTGGGGAGACGGGGGTGAGGGGTGCGGCCTGTCGACCTTTTTAATCTGTATTAAGTCAGGAAAACCTTCAAAGGATTCCTCCTGCTACAAGGAAGTGGAACAGCTGCCGGACGTTGCCGCTCTAACCACGTCCCACCCCGCGCACTCCCGCACTCAGCCCTTGTCTGAAAGCATCATTTGTGGCACTCCTGTGAGGCACGGCAGACAGATGAGGTCCGGTCCCCTCTGATCCATTCAGTTTCACGTCCATACAGGGGTCCCACAGTATCCCTTCTTCCACCATTCACACCGCTGCCTTCTCCCCTCCCTCTGAGTGCACAGTGAATTCAGGGCAACATGAGCAATGATGTGGCCCTGTGCGGAATACCGCTAAATGGTCTTGGAAGCACAGACTGAGGAGGTAAAGGAGGCCCCTCAAAGCAGGTCTTGCCTGTGCATGACAACAGGATCCCCTTTCCACCAAGTTTCACTTCCCCTGGGCTAGTCCTTCCCTCCCTTCACAAACCAAAGTCACCGCCACTGAGTCAATGCTGACTCACAGTGACCCCCGTGGGTTGCCGAGACTGTGTTTAAGGGAGTAGAAAGCCCCGGTCTTCAAGGCTGGCCTAAACTTCACCTCGTAGGCACTCTGCTCTTCACAAGACATTGTCCTGTGAACTGTGCACTAATCCTTACACAGGGGCCACACCTTCTGATGCCCAGGAAAGCCAACTGGAGAGCATGCTCACGAGAGTTGGGACTGACGGCCCTTGGGGCTGTGGGACGAGGACAGATCGATCGATGTCCACCTGGCACTTACTTCTGACTGGCCTCCATCTCCAACAGAGCAGACAGAGCGGACGTTCCCTTCTTCCCAACCGGGGGGACGGCAGACTCAAGGGAGTGTGTAGAAATGGGCCCGGTCATCTGCAAGCCTTTCATGGCAGCTCCTTTCTACAGCAGAGAGAGGACACAAGGCTGTCACTATCAGCCAGGGCATTGTCCCACTGGACGCCATCCATTTCTTTTCCTTTTTCCAAAACATTTCATTAGGACATAATCCAGACAGCAAGCCATTCAATAGTTTAGTCATATTGAGCAATATTATACAATCATCACAAACATTTTCAAAACACTCTTGCTTTTTGTAGTCCTTGATATTAGCTCCCCAAGACCCCCACCCCCTAGAACCCATCCTCCAAGAACCCTGATGCTACTAATTGTCTCTACAGAGTCACCCAACCTGGGTTTCATATACCGAAAAACAGAGAGATACATAACAGAGTCAAGAACGCTACCAACAATAACAAAATACAGCAGAGAGAAGCCCCAGTTGGGGGGCAATAAATACGAAAAAACAGATAAAGGTCAAAGTGTATCCGAAGGAAGATCAAATGATGATCTTTTAATCATTCAAGTCAGATTTCTCATTTTCATCTATTTTATTTTAATAATTTCTCCAATACTCTGTCTGGTAGCCAGGTTATTCCCAATATTCTGTCTGGTAGCCAGGTTATTCCTATCCCTCGTTTTTTGGTCAGAAGGGTTCCACTGGAGGCTTATTCCCTGTGTAGATTCTGCTCATGTATTTTCGGTGGTCACCATTCCTGCCTCAGCACAGGCTTCTACAACTATAGTAATTCAGACCTGGGTACCCAAGTGACAAAGTTGAGGAACACAGGTGCTTGGTGTTCAGTAAGTGACAGAAAACTGTCTTTCACCCCACAGGTTGTTGGGCTCAAAACAAATTGCCTCTTTGAGTTGGTATAAAGATAACATCTTGTTCCCTTCACTATCGCTGTGGGAAGTAACATTATTCTTATTTCATTAAAGAGTAAACTGAGGGTGGTCAGCGAAAGAAAGTGAAATCCCAAATCCCTCTGGAGCTAGAA